CCTTAAAAATTAGAAAACTCGACAATTCAACTATCCATTAATTATCTAAACTAATTATCAAATTAAAAAATTCTAAAATTTTAATTAAATAAAATCAACTAAAATAAATTTCAAATTAAACATATTGAAATCATCGTTCATCCTTAATAAATAGGAGAGTCGTTGATCAAATATTCTAACCATATCAAAATCATATATTAACATAAATTTCATACCTACATATCTCTAGTTTTCTAACATGCATAAAACTAAAAAATTTTATAAAAACCACATAAAATAATAATAAAAACATAGGGAACAAGCAAGCCGAATAGTCATCATAAATGACCAAAATGCACTTATATTGCAAAATTATAAAAATGCCCCTACAATGCCAAGAGTCAGCGCCAAGTGACCACGTCTTTTTGGTGATCCTTTAGGTGTGTGGACTACCCCACCTTGTAAATCAAGTCGCTATGAGTCCAACGATGGTGGTAGCAACTTGAGAAAACGTCGGAGGAGGGAGATCGAAGCCTTTAAAAATTCGATCGAATCTCCTTTCTTCATCGACGATGAATCTAAGCTCCTTTTGTGATTTCAAGCAACCGATTGACTTGTGAGGTCGAGAGGACAATTTCTATGGTGGATAGGACCTCCAATTCCTTCTAGATTGGCTAATGTTTTTTGGTTTCCCAAAATGGGTCGGAAATGGGTCTCGTTAAATTCAATCATTTTTTTAGTGTCTTTGGGTTGATATTTTTAAAAAGAAATACTCAAGGGAGATGGACGATTAGATCTATAGAGGTAGATCTCGTATTGGTGGCCGGAGTTAGGAGATATGGCTAGTTCTTTACGGGGGTTGGGTCACGAATGTTTAATCTCTAATTTCTCTCTCCTTCGTGTTGGTTCTCCTCTAACCGGTGTGGATCAACCCATTTAATTATAGGCTATATGTGGATGGTGTTGATCGGGATCAAAAGCCGAACGAAAAATGATCAATTGAAGGGAAAAATTTTAAAGCTGGGTAAACGAGGTCAATGGGTTTGGATCTTGAGTTAGGGCATGTTTAGTAGTTTTTAATCCAGTTTTCAATATATTTTTGTGTATGTGGTTTTTTATGGTATTTTTGGGTGAAAGGATTTTTCAAGACTAGTTAAAGGTTGAAGGGCAGAGTTACAGGAGAATTTTTGCAAGAGAGGGAGGTGTTTGAATGGTGGAAAAATGGGTTTTTTGTGATTTTTTTCTAGATGAGAAAATTGCTAGTGCTGAAAAAAACTATTTTGAAGAGATGAATAGTGACCCTTTTTGGCTCTCTCTAGTTGCCCTTTAAAGATGAAGAGAAAACGTTCCTTTTACAAGGGGATTTCTAAGGTTGGTAAAATTCATTTGTCCCTGATTATGAACAATCCATTAATTTGAATTTAGTTTTTCTTTTCTTTTCTCTTTTTTTTTTTTTCAAGGAACCCAAAATTGGGTTATGACAAGTCCAATTCTCATTAACAGACAACCATGGCTACTGAAGTCCAAGCTTTATTGAACAGCAATGCCTGTGAACTTATTCCTCACTAGCGTTTATACAATATCATTGGGAACAAATAGGTATATAAAGTGAAGACCAAAGCAAATGGTACCATTGATTAGCATAAATATTAGAGGTAAGAACCTTCAACCAACGGCCTGGCTTGGATTTTAATAACACTTACAATCCCGTTATTAAACTAGTGGCACTCTAATTGATCCTTTTTCTTATCTTCTCTCTAAATTGGCCAGCTGAAAAAGTAGATGTCTACAATGTCGTTTTTCATAGGCCATTGGAGAAAGACATCTACATGACTCAACCATAAGGTTTTGTTGATGTTATACACCCCACCCATGTCTGTAAATTAAAGAAATCCTTGTATTGATTAAAAAAGGTACTGCATCAATGGTTTTGATGCTTCACTAACAAACTGATTTCCTTGAGGTTTCAGAGGTCTCAAAACTGATATCTCTCTATTCATTAAAAAGTTGGGCACAAGCATCATATTTTGCTTGATTTATATTAATGATTTACTTATCATGGACAACAATAACTCTATGCTTTTTCTATAATCTTAGCATTACAGTCCACTTTTATGATAAAAACCTAGGTCCCCTTCACTATTTTCTTAGGATATAGGCACATCGAGAGACAGATGGTCTTTTTCTTAGCCAAAAGAAATATGCTACTAATCTTTTAATTAAAGTTCAAATGCACCAAGCTAAGGGCATCAGTGCCCGTGTATGTCCAAATACTACATTGAATGCTATGGTAGGCACATCATTTTCTGATCCTAAACTCTACAAAAGTATCATGGAAGGGTTGAAATATCTTAGTATTATTAGGTCGGACCTAGCTTATTTCATGAATAAAGTGGCACAATATATGTATGCCCCAACTGATGCTTAATGGGTCATCATCAAATGGATTCTCCTTTACCTTCAAACCACCTAAGATCATAGCTTCTATCTTTAAAACTCCACCACCTCTTCCATCCATGCATACATGGACTTCGATTGGGATGGGGATGTTGATGATCGAAAGAGCACATCCGGTTATGCCATCTATCTTAGCCAAAATTTAATTTCGTGGTGGTCTAAAAATAGCAAACTATTGGTCGATCTTCTACTAAAGCTGAATGTCATTCCTTGGCAACCTTTTATGCAAAGGTTGATGAATAGAGTCCCTTATATGGGAAATTTGCATGCCATGTACTGCTCCCTCTAAACTTTGGTGTGATAATATCTCTACCACTTACTTTACTACCTCTCCTATTTTTCATTCTTAATCTAAACATCTTGAAATAGATTTTCATTTTGTGAGGGACAAAGTTTGAATAACATGTCCTACAAATGTGTTACTTGTCCACCACAGATCAGATTGCAGATATTCTCACCAAACTGATGTCCAGAACTCAGTTTCAACAGCTTCAAAACAAGTTACACATTCTTTTAGATCTTGCACAACTTGTGAATATCTGACAAGGACAAAACTTTCAAATGTCCTACTGCTATTGATATGTAGTCTCCTACTACTCCTGATATAGTTAGCTCTTATCTTTAGCTAATAGATTATTACTCTGTTGTAACTACTTCATGCTTATCATACTCATATACATGTTTATAAGTAACCACTGTAGCTCGCTTAATATATGAGAGAATCAGTAGCTTTTTATATATTATCTATTTGCACAGGCTCATCTTATCCAGTGACTTTAATTTTTTAGTTGAGATAATTCTTTAACATGGTCAAAACATCTTCTACCTCTACTTCTTCCTTAACCTCCTCGGCCTCTTTAACAAGACTAATCATCCTTCAACTAGGGCAATCTGAAGCTATACGACTGAATTGTTGACACTTAAACACTTTTGAGAATTATTGTTGGACCTCGTTGTATTTGTTTTATTGAAACTGCTCGAAGTACTTTCTCTTTCTTGCCAATTCCCACTTTAGGTAGGTTAAGTAACCTTAACCGAAACATTGGGACTAGAATGGTTCTCCCTAGCGCGTTCTAATCCTTGAAATCTTATAGGTCTCTACATCTAGCTAGGAAGCTAAATCATCCATTGAATTTCCGGAATTTGCTGAAGCTTCAGCTTGGTGAGTCCATGGAGTGTATCATCCAAATCCAGTGCCACTAATTCTTTTGAAAAGAATTTGCCTTTTACTTCTTTTCTACCATCACAAAACAAAACGTACAATATTATTGAAACCTCAACCATTCTATTTTATTAACTTTGCGTGGTGGTCTATACCTGGTTTTGGAATAAATAAATTCTCATTTTCATTTTTTTTTTTGTTTTTTTTTTTTTTGGGTCCAATCCTCAAACCATTATTAATATGGCCTCTGGTTGTGGGTATGATTGTTAAAAAAAAAAAAAAAGAAGAAGAAGGTATATTATAGATGGACTTCATTAATCAAAATAATGGCAGGAAACCAAAACTTTTTTAAGAGCATCACACTCATGAGGAAACCAAACAAGCTGAAGAATTAGCACGGATACAAAAAGCTTAATTGGGAAAAGAACACACCACCCAAAAAAAAGAACAAAAACCAGCAAAGGACACAGAAATAGTTACCATGCCTCAAACCACAGATAAAAAAGCGAGACACTAGGGGTAGCCATGCCTTCCGTTCTTACTAAAAAGTGGATAACCTCCCTAGATTACTCATTCATTATTTGATCTCCTCCTGCATCATATCATGGAGGTCCATTGATTATGCACTTACTTTGACGGCTTTTGGGATCATAATCGCATTGATTAGATCCATCAGGAGTAATATTTATCCATTCATCATCATCCTCTAATAGAAAGTTGGTACGATCCCAATATTAGGTTGGAACATGATAGAAAAGTAATGATGGTAACAAAGAGTATTATTGTCAAGTATTGATTATTTCTTTGAGAGTACCCCATTTTGGACATGAAAGAAAACAGAGACTTTTAGAGAATAAAATGTTTTGGAATGTGTAGATAGCTAGCTAGTTTGCAAGCTGGAGAGGGTTAGCTTGCTGGTGTGATGACCATAACTAAGGAGAGGATATATATAGGAGGGAATTTATATATATGTATGTATGTATGTATGTTTAAAAACGTGAAACATGCTGTATTATATTAGGCACGATATCATGTTGATTTGGAAGCTTGGTAATCCATTTTGACTTGGCAAAATTCAAATTCAAGAGCCATCGGTATTATATACATAGTTCTTTGAAACCTATGATGCGAATGAATTACATACTGCCATATCATTTTAAATAATAATAATAATGATAATTACTGTTTTGTTCAAGTACTTTTACATTTGTAATGAAAGAAACATGTTCTTAAGCAAGGAAAAGACACGGTTGAAATCGTTCTGGAGCTTCCATGGAGGAGTGGCATTGAGTTGTATTATACGAAACTGATTCGATCACAAATGTGACTTGATTATCAAATGAAGCTACAGGATTCATCTCCAGTGCTTTGAGAATTGCTAAAACCTCAGCCATATTTGATTCTACGATGCCCGCAGGCAGGAAAACAGACACGAAACCCTACTGCGGAAACCGGCAAGATCATTACCCCAAGTCAAAAACCATATGTTTCTCTGCATATCCAACGAAAGCCAAAACCCTACTGCTGAAACTGATCATTTAATTGAGTTCGTCATTACCCAAGGAAAGCCCCACCAAGCAAAGATTTTATTCCACAGCCGCAGAACGTCATAGCATTCAAATGACAAATGGGAAAGTTTCATTCGTAGAAGAAAGGAAGTAGGAGTCAACCCCTACCAAAAAAGAAGTAACCAATGACATATGAAGTTATTGCAGCAATCACCCTTCACTCTGCAAAACTTTTCATTTTCTGCAATATCTGCTGGCTATTAATTATTTCTTCCACTAGGACAAAACACATGTTAAAATATTCAACTAAAAATGTTGCAGAACGTAGCATAGGTTTCAAAGAAAATACCAAGTAACTGTTCAATTTCTTTTCCTATTTAATTTCTTAATGAATTATACTAAGATCACTCTTGAATAGGAAACCAAACCTGTCCAGAAAAGAAAGAGAACAAGAGATCCAATTTTTCTAAGCGTAGAAGAGCCCAAATTTAGTCCTTGAAGGGCCATAGCAAATCACCATAAGTCCACAAGCTAATCAAATCCATTTCCTTCATTAAGCCCATCCTACGTCCTTTCTCTTCTTGGCTATTAGCCATAGTAGCTTCTAAGTAACAGAACAAAGATACAAAGCAAGGAAAGCAAGGGGAAATAATATACCATCAAAACAAGAACATCGTCAAAAAAAGTAACAGAAACCAGAAAGGACACAATAATAATAATAATAAACATGCCTCAAACCAACCTTTTATGGTATGATAGGTTTTGCCTGGGAGATGTTCAAACTATTTGTTTCTTCATTTGTTTTGAGACCCATTCACTCCGGAGAAGCTGCTGATATGTTATAAATGCATCCAGGACAAGAATGCGATTCCATTCACTCTGGGAAGGTACAAAACTTAACAAGAACTTCAACTAAAATTGAAACGAATATTTACAGCAGTTTAACAAACAACTAGACCAGTACTCAGCACTACATGATTTCCTAAAACGAAACTGGATTCATGGCAAGAGGCATATGCTACACGGATTGAACTAGATCGGCAGCTTTATCTCATATCATACATGGATTGAACTAGATCGGCAGCTTTATCTCATATTCTACATGGATAGAACAAGATCAGTAACTTTATTTCCCTAGATGGAAACAGCTAAATCATTGGCAAATATGCGAGTCTACTCCAATAGCGACAAATGCAACGACTACAGAAGTGAATAGCCTCGCCTAGAAAGAAAGAACTCATAATCAGGATGTCTGTTTACAGAAGTCTGATTTCCCTTGTTTACGACAGCTCTGGCCATGAGAGATGCTGTCTCCGCAAGTGTTCTCAACCGCTCCTTCAGGATTACAGAAGGGTTTAAACTTGGAGTTCCTGCTGTCTGGTTTAAACTGTTCCGCAGCTGGAACCAGCATTCACCCTGGTCATGCAACACAGCTAGCATTTGGGTCAAGGGTACAAAATTTAATTTGTATATAGGAACAGCCACAACTCAAAAGTCAAAAGCCAAGTTACAATAACAGTTTAGGAGTAGCTTTTCCATTATTTAAAATTTTTGCAACTGATAGAGAGTAGTTTTAACCCATCAAGGAACACACAAAGTGCGTTTTCAAAGTATTCGTTTACAGCGAATGCCAAAATAGTAGTAAAATATAGACAGTGTCGTATATATGTATATAGACAGTGTCATATATATGTATACCACATAGATAAACATTGCAATGACTAAGAAGCTTCTACGTTAGTGAGCTGCTTCGATATCAGTAAAACATCTATCATAATTAAAGAACAAAATCTTTTTAAGGTTTATCATATTTAGGTGGACAACGTAACAAGCATAGCATCAAAAACTTTACTTGGTTAAGAAATGGGGCCCCAACTCAATTAATAACAAGCTTATCTGGGTAATAAAATATAAATTATAATCAAAGTCGATGATTCTGTCTTATAGCCCATGTGTATGTTAGCCACAGACTAGGAAGTTGTATGTGGAGAAAATGACTGGAGGCCTCTGAACATCTCAATATACACACTTCAACAATTAATGCAATGAAATTTATTTGCATTACAACACCATCACCATAAATGCAATGAAGTTTGTAGAAGCATAGTATTTATAACTACCTGAGCATTATAACTCTGAAGGCCCACAACTGGACAAACTACACATGCATCCTTAATCGGGGGATCAAATTTGGCACTTTTATTAACCAAGTGGGCAAGTGAATGGTAAGTCAAAAATGCAGTTCGGAAGTTGCCATCTGGTATCCTATAGATAGGATACCATGCCACCGAGTACCTGAAAACAGATCCCACAACAAGTTTATAAGATTTCTCTAGACATGATTCAATTGTATAACAAGCTTCAATCCTAATTAGTGCTCTGAAAGACCTTCAAGCTAGTTTTTTTTTTTTTTTTCCTAGCTGAACATGAAAAACGTTAGATTAATATCAAGAACTAGTTTTCGTAACCAACCAGGATCTGGGGTGCAGGTCATGTAGATTCAGAGAGGTCAAACTAGTGGGGTCCCCATACATTTTGCAACGTGAAGATGCATCCCCTCTAACAAGCTCTTGGATCCTGTAATTAACAGAATCAGTAATGAGATCTGTCTGAAAAACTCAAGTAATATGTTTAATACGACTTCAAATGGGAGGTAAGATGATTCCTTACTTCTCATATAATGGCCGTCTTTGCTGTGGTTGTTCTGATTCAAAGTATTCAAAGAGTAGCTCTGCATCATCAGAACATGTTACATCAACTGATTGAGCTACAGCTGTGATACGAGGCTTAGGAATCAGTACAGAAAATATTGGAAGGCGACCAACTTTAGAGTTCTCTGATGATTCACTAGCCTCAAATGTATCAAAAACCCCATGATCAGGAGCCTTGCTCTCACTGTTTGTGTGTTGGCTTGTATTGTTTTTGAATAGTTGAACTGCAGATAAAAAGGGAACAAAATAGCCACAAAATGAAAAACAATCCAAACCCCAGGTCTTTGAATTCTCAAAATCTTCTGCCCTGACTTCTAAACCATAATTCCCATGTTCTTCATACCACTTCCAGAGGCATTCCAATGGGATATTTGGTGTCTCATGTCTGCATAGTGACGCACCAACAAGCCTGTCACACAAACAAGTCTGGCAGCATGATAAACTTGGCAGTTGACTAATAACGGGAGAAGAAAAATGAAGAAATCTTTCAAACTCAGCAACTGGACTGCCGGTGGCCATCTGAATAGCTTCACATTCCATCTGTACCCTACATGCATCCTTCACTGCTTGTATTGTTTTTGTTGATTCATCTTCAAAAGCTGAAAATTGTTGATCAGAGAATTCGCTAGTTGAATTGTCAGCTGCAACATGCTTCTTGTTGAGCTCAAGCATCCAACCAGTAGAATTCTTCAACTTTTGACTGTGGTCATCTTCCTGGGGAAAACTAATAGCATTTCCAGAACCTTGGCACCTGCCCAACATCGATGAAGAAACAGGGTCCTGAGAATTGAAACTGGCAATTTCTGGAACATTTCTTGGTGTGAAATCTTCACCAGCAGGTCCATCAGAAGGATCCGGTAATGTATTACCAAATCCAGCAGAGGTGGCCAATTCAGGATCTCTTACCCCAATGGGTATCCATTTCTGCATAACTGATCCAGAACTTTGGTTTTGCTTACAGCATTCAGCAAATGGAATTTCTTTTTCCATTTGGGGGCCTTTATTAAAAAAAAGATGAGGAAGGTAAACTGGAGGTGGCACCTTAAGCACATTTTGGTTCAATGAGTTGCACAACTTTGCTGGCAAGCTACCTTGACTTTCTGTATGGCAGTGTCTAGTGCTGGAAACAGTATCACAAGTACTTTGAAGTGGCTGTAACGCATCTGGGAAAACATGCGAGCTGTTAATTGACTCTGAATTCACGCATTCAACTCCACTGGGTTGGAACCCAACCGTTAAACAGCTATTCAGAGAATGAGTTCTTGAAATAGATTTCCCTCCTTTGTGATCATTCACTTGAACTGTGAGATCAAATGTTTCATTCTGTTGCATGCCGGTTTTTGCACGAGCATTAAAGCTGGCCTTGGTGGAACTGTAGCCCCTACCATGAAAGCTGTATTCTTGTTTGGAACCTAGACTATTTTTTCTTTTCAACTTCTTAGAAACCTTGTCTTTCGGCAGTTTTTTATCCTCAGTTCTTGATGATGCATTTACGTCAGCAACAATACAGTTCCTTTTAAGTGAAGGAGCCTCTTTCCAAGTAATGTCAGACTGGAAGCACACAGGAGATATCTTCGTTTCAGTGCTGCATTCATCACCATCATTCCTCTGAACTTTTTGCCAGACAGAATGATTGTTTTCCTTACCTGCCCGACCATGCAAATTTCCAAAACCTCCATATTTGTGAGCGCTGTCACTCCTAGGCAATGCTTTTATTTGCTTACCTTTACTGCCTGACATGAGAAATTGCCCATCACTGATGCTAAAATTCTGACCGCCATGCTTTGAGCCCTCAGTGTGGTGATAGGTATCTACAATACCATTTAATGAATTTTTGTGAGCCAAAGAACCCTCTCTGGAATTGAAACCTGGAGCTTCTGAAATGCTACCACTGCTGCTAGCTTCATTAAATGGTTTTACATGATGACTATCATTAGTGCCATCATCACTGTTAGAACCAATAGATACAACGTCCATCACTAGCGAGGAATCGGCCACATATGAAAAATCTTTGGATTGCATATCATCACTACAGCTGATCTGACTCAAATCGATCTGGTTACTACTACCATCTGCCGATGAAACGTCCAGTGCTTCAAAAGTTTCCACTATAGCCACTTCATCAATGTTGGATGTGCTTATCGCCAGTGCTTTAGAGCTGCTGCATCTAGTGTCACCTTCAAAATCAATCTGGTTACTCCTACCATCTGGGAATGAAACTTCTGGTGAAGTTGCAGAGGACATTACTTCATCTCCATGATCATTATAACCACAGGCTTCAGAGGTTGAACTTCCATGAGCATACTCAGACAAAACTTCTGGTTCAGTTGAGCCAGTATCACTTGAAACTCTCTTGTTCTGCTTTCCTTTCCTTCTGCCTTTTTGTCTAGATTTTTTCTTGGCAGACTTGTCTACATTAGAACTATCAATACAAGCTTCACATGAACTAACAGCATTACATTCTTTTGGGGTTGAAGCATAGAAATTAGGGCAAGTGACAGAACTCTGGCACAAAGGATGGTCAGAGAATTCGTTAGATCTAGTTGCTTTATCGGCAACCTTATTTTGAGACTGATGCCATGCACCAGTCTCAAGAAAATTTCTGGTGCATTGCTTAATGGAATGAGGTAGATCATGTTGAGGCCCTCTCCGTGCCTTTGGTCGATTGCCCCTGAATGCATTTCTAGGTGGCGTCGAAACCAGTTGCAAACCATCCATATTTCCAGATCCAAACCAAATTCTGCTGATCAGAATGTGTCACTAGCAGTGCAACAATCCTCCACAACTCATTCGACTTGAGCGTAAGCAATGACAAGATTGCACCTATGGTAAATAAATAGACATAATCCGGAGTCCAATCATAACCACATTAGAAGCCTATGCCAAATTAGAAAGGTGCAACAAAATAGATAACTCAAGATGCAAGCAATCGAAGAAAAATGAGCAATTTGATCCGATGAACCTTCCACAACTGATGTAAATGAACCATTGAAAGGAAACAAGAATTTTCAGAACTGGCAATAAATTTCCTCATTATTATTTTTATAGATCCAAGGAATCTAACTCAAAATCTAGGTTAAGGAGTCAGAATTGCAGCCTGTCTACCTTTAAGAAGACCCTATTGTTCCCTTGATGGAAAGGAAGTTGACACCACTTGTCCGTAGGACTGTTGTTGTCTCTTCCCTCTACCTATATTATCAGAAATCTAAAATGAGCGACAGGCATAGGGAAAATTATTGGCTCCAGGAACAAATGACATGCACCGTAATGACAGAAAGCATCCCTTAAACAAATAAAGTCAACAGTACAACTCAATGCCTGTATGAAAACAGCAAGCAGTATGAACTCTTCACAACAAGCAACATGCATATAACAACCAAAACCATTACCTTTAATGAACTTTCCCCCAATCAACAGAAGACACTTCACAGATCGGAAAGCAGCCATGCATTAAAGAAAGTCAGAAAACATTTATTAAAGTTTTACTAGGAAGAAGCATACGTTGAATGCAACTGGGGAAATGAAAATACATGCCTCGGGGGAAATTCTGAAATTATTTTCTTCTATAAATGCCCTTGACGAGTAAACCTGTCCTCTGACTGAAACCCTCTGATTGCTACAGTGGGTTCTTAGAAAAGCAGAATGTATCTTTTGATGTGCCTGTCCATGTTATAAAATAGAAGGGGGATCAGGTTTCTTAATGAGCATGAAATAAGCTATCTCAATACTTCTTCAACAACAGAAAAGGCACGCAGGCGAATTATTACTTAAATTCTACATTAGAGACCATGCAGCCATTTTCTAACTCTCAACGATCAAGTAAAAAAGGAAACATGCAGCATTATCCTGATTTAAATCTCATCAAAGGTTCCTTATTAATTATGTAACTCAATTTGGATTTACTAACTCTCAACCATGCTTTGAGAATGGATTAACTAGAAAAACAGACAATATCTAGCAGCAGAATCTAATGACTATAGCTTCCCAACAAATATCCAAGGCTAAAATTTCACCGACCAAACCAACCAAACAATCATTACCCCAAAACCTAGAATTAAGAAGTCAATCAACTACATACGACAAGTGAAAAGTTAACAAATGATTCAATGATATACGACAAGTAGGGACTCCACGAGTCAATTTGATCGTAAACAACAAATGGTAAGTTTATGACAATAACGCCAATCAACAGAAACACGACAATGTTTACCTATCAAATCCAAACCCCAAAATAAGAAAATTTCTGCACAGAAATGGCAACCAACTAACTCATTGCACTAAAAAGAAGCCAAGTCTTCAAAACAACAGAACGCACGAAAACGACAATATTACATGATCAAACAGAAAAAGATTAAATTTATCCAAAGCTAATTAAAATCATTCCCAGCAACGATCCTTTCGCATTAATAACAAATGCAAGAGCCCCTTGTGACTAAATCAAAGCAAGCTATACCATTTATACCACAAACAATAAAAACATCTAGCTCCATAAAGGAAAATAACAGTGAACCAAAGGAAAATCATGTAAATGCTTAGTGAGTCCATCCAATCATATTATGAGACCAAAAGACCTAATAAACAACAAAATCATTCTGTTAGCCACCAAACCTCAAATTTCTTGTCTTATAACAAAACTTACATATGATCTTCCAACAAAAAACAAAAAACAACCCAGAAGAACAAAGAAACCTCTGAACAACAACAGGAAATTGAACAGGACAGTAAAGAAGATTAAAACTCACCAGATTAAAAAAGAAAAAAAAAAAAAACAGCTTTTGAAACCCAATTCAACCAAAACAAAGCCAATGAACAAATTTAACGAAAACCCACCAAGAAAAAAGTCAGAAAAACCGAAAAAAAAAAAATTGAGAATCTGAGAATTAAAGGCTTCATACCAAATTTGACTAAAAGAGTCCCCCAAAAAATCTGTCTAAAAGTGAAAAAGAAACAAAAGGGTGTCCCCTAAATATAGCAGTGAGATACACAAACCAATAAAAGATGAAGTAAGTCAGTAACAACCACCACCACCACCACCCAGCCAGACCAGCTATACTTGTCAAGGATTTTTACCATTTTTAGACCTTTACGTTTAAAAACAAAGCAGACCCACTAATCCATGCTCTAATTAATTAGTATCTCTACAAATATTAATTATTACATCTCATTAATTAATATCTCAAAATTTCCAAACTAAATTTTTTTCTAAAGACAGAGAGAGAGAAAACAAACCAGACAAAGTTGCTTCCTGCTGCTGTTACTTCTTTGTCTTCGCTTCTTGCTTTCAACGGCTCTTTTGCTTTTGTTGTTTGCTTTTTTGAACTAAAATTTCTGTCTTTATCTCTCTCTATATTGTTTTTCTATTTTTTTTCAAAGAAAGGAGAGGAGAATATTTAAAGGCAAGACGGCTTTAATATGCTTTTCTTACTTAGAATTTGTAAAGATTATTAAATTATGTTTAAGACATGATCGATACATGAAAGTCTGTTCTAATTAAATGTCAATGGTTCAATATACTGTTATATAGAATAAGTCTTAATTTATCTTTATGTTTCTAATCGAATTAATTTTATTCTAAAATATACGTTTAATTTCTAATATATCATTTTAATAAGATTTTCAAGTTAAACTATTAAGATTAATCACATAATTTTTAAACAAAATTTTTTTATTTGTGTGATTTGTAAGAATATTTTGAAAATAAAAATTAATTATTTGTAAATCCCGTGATTCATTCAAATAATTTATATAAAAATCATGTCAATTTAATATATTAGAAACTTTAAATATATTCAAGAATAGTATTGATCAAATAGAGATATAAAAACAAATTGAAGAATTATATTATTATATAAAAATAGATTAAATATTAACTCTCTAATTAAAGAATTTTTTTTAAAAAAAATATTCTTTATCTTAGTTTCAATTAAATCTACTCATTTATTAATTAGGAAAGAACACTAAAACATGATACGGAAAATCAATGTCATAGGTTCAACTCTTCTCCTCATGTAAATTTATGAAAGAAATTAGGTGGATTTATGATGATTCTCAAAAAAAAAAAAAAAAAGGAAAAAATAACGTTAATTTAAGATGCATTATAAATATTAATCTGAGTTGTATTTAACTCTTTCTTAATGTAAAATTTATGAAACAATGAGATAAGATTTACCATATATTAATGATATGTTTAGTTGAATATAGTGAATTATGTATTATGATAGTTCATTACATTCCTATTTTTAATGATATAATTTTTAAAATTGCAACGTATGCCTGATTACAGTAAAAATGATTCGTTACATTACAGCATTATATATATATATATATATATATATATATATATAGATACTGTCTTGGGTGGTAAACAGATTCTCCCTTTTTATTTATATCTATTTATCTTGTTAATATTTATCTTGTTAAAAATTTTAATACTGTATTTTCTTAAATATTTTTATTTTATAACACAGAATTAAATAGGATAGATTTTCTTTTTAAATAAAAAATAATATTTAGGAAAATAATGTTACGAAATGTTGATATGGCGGCATTATCATTAATAATATTTTTAAATTGTGTTAAATGTCAAGGGAAATTATCAATTTGGAATAGAGGAAATACAAGATGTGAGTACTATATATACAATACGACTATGAATACAGTGATACAATAATTTTGAAAATTTAGAATACCATATGTAAAGGATATGTCAAATTTTTCATATTATATATCTAATAATAATAAATAATTAAAAAATTAAAAAATAATATAACTGATAATAATGCATAATAAATTAAATTCATGAGTATCTGAAGTTGTCAAATAAAAGGATAAACGTCATATTATTTATTTCAAATAACTGATGCAAGCATGCTTTCTAAATTCTAAGGGACACATTATTTATTTCAAATAATGTCTCCGAATTTGTGGTCCAAACTTCTTCCTCTTTTTTGACCATTACTCCTCATTTTTTTTTTATCCTCTAAAATATTATAAAATCTAAACATTCGATTAATCTTTTATCATTTTATCAGACACATAAGATATAAAGAATTAACTAAAAAGTTTTTTATAAATATAAATAGTTAAATTTAAAATCACTTATTTAATCAAGCGATTAAAATTATTTTCACTTCAGTCTGGTTAATCCTTTTGATTTCTGCTCCTCATCTTTAAAAATACATCTGTGCAATAAAATAAAATATTTCTAAAACTGTACCTCTTTCATCCTGTGATCGTATATATATTGTTGTGATCTTGATGCGAAAGAAAGAGGTTTCCTCTTTTTTTTTTTTTTTTTTAATTTCAAACTTTGTAATAATATCCAAAAATATTGTATATTTTGAATTATCAAGTCTATATAAGAAATGTATTTTTAATATTGTCCGGAGAAAATACTTAATTTCAATTGAGCTTTAAAATTATTTCAGAAAAAAATAAATTTTAAATTCAAAATCATTCAAAAACATCAAATTAATCATTTTAAAGCATAAAAACAAAAATTAATTTGATAATTTTTTTAACTTAAAAACATTCTTACAAAAGCATCTAAAACACAATACCAAACATTATAGCTACCGGATTTGAAATTTTTACCAATATATATATATATATATATATAAGGTTTAAAACCAATATAAAAACGTGCATCAATGAAGCCAGATTCTGACCTAAGTAGGCACCCACCGGCCGGTCACTGTCTTCAATGGCTGTTGGTACGCTTTTTTTGGCGTTGATGTGGTCATCACATGTAGACAGCCCATACGTGTCTTCTTAGTTGAAATATGTTGCCACCTCGAAAGCATGCATGCACGCATCAGCTACGCCAAATCAATGCTCAGCCACAAATAAAATACTCACTCAATGGCTCCTGGCCATCCCTTTTCGGGCACTGATGAGTCATAGAGACATTTGCCCTTTGAAAATTCAGAACCATGACGAAAGGACACAAGATAAGGTTGCCCTTTGGACCGTGAGAAATGGACCCAAGTGTTTCTCTCAAGATAAGGTTGCTCAGAAATTTGAAGCAAAGAGTACTTAGCGATATTCACCATGAATTGCATCCAATCTAATTACTCTCCATTAGTCCTTCCCTTCCTATCAAACTCCATACAAAAACCTCAATGGAGGGTAGAAAAATTGCCTTGGTCTTCTAGCAAAGAACCTAGTCGAATAGTTAAACGTAGCCAAAAAGCAACAACAAGGACAAGAGCCATCGAGGAATCCCTCATTCTTGGAGTCACTTCTCGAGCTAGACCTGGCGATGTATCAGTTCTTCTCCAAACAGGGTTAGTTAGTTACATCTATGAACACTACAGTGCAGGTTTGATTCAAGAAATTGAGTATGTAACTAGAGGATTATGTTATGGTTTGCTCACTCTTGTTTTCTTGTGTCACAGTGCTGTACTTCTGTTTATGTATGTGATAGCCAATTTCGTTTTTCCGGCTTTCATCACCAAGTACTATGAATGGGACGAGATAAGTGAAGACGCAAAGCCTAGAGATGATGTCCCCTCGGATGATGAGTGAAGCACGACCACAACCGGTATGAGCAAAAATCAGAGAAGAAGTTAACGATTGGGTGAAGTCTAATTAGATATGGGACTCAATGGAAAAAAATATTTAATTTGTTTGTGGACTCAATTGATAAATGATTATTATTTGGGGGAGCATATTTGTTCTTTTCTCTATTTGTTTTATGATGCATTTTTTTTTTTTAATTATTATTCATCAGAGGCTCAAATGACTTGGTTACATAATGGGAGTATCCCTCTCTTTTGCATAATCATTAGAAAAAATTAGAATCATCATAAGCTAACTGGATACATAATCGTTAAAAGTTAACTAGATACATAATCGCTAGAATAAGCCTGGATGTGTTTTTATTTATCAAAAACTCAATGGATTTATTTTGCTACACAATGCAGTAGTCCTCTTCGTTACATAATTGTTAAAGAAATTAGAGTCATTATGAGTTGGAGAAGTTAATTGGATATATAATCGGTAGACTAAGCTTGGATGTGTTTTTATGATGCAATTTGTTTAGAAGCAAGAGGAATTTTTTTTTTTTTTTATCATTTTTGTCGCAAGAAGAAAAACGATAGAAATGCATTTTCTACTCATAGAACGAAACAAGAAATGGAGACATTGGTGGTAAAAGCTGCAGCGAACCCCAAGAAAAAGAGAACGGAACCTCTCAATAGAAGGCATGGAACTTAACACAAGCACAGCATGAAAAAATTTAAAAGGTTAAAATAAAATTATAAGGAAAGTGAAGAGAGAATTGGATGAGCATACCATTTCAAGGATCCGAATACAACGTATGTTGATACTCGTATCATTATCTCTACCAAGATTCTTTGCTTCAGCAAACAAAAAGTTTTGGACTGTCATCATCACTGGATTCAGCAAAGAAGTTGATATGAAGCCAAGAAATCCTGTTTTTTGTTAAACCAGTACTGCTTGGACGAAGCTCAACAAGCTTGCACCCTAAGAAATTAATTAAATTAAGGATTAATTTGTTTCATTACTGCTGCGAAAATTCACCCAGGAGGATGTTTTGATTGCTCTTAAACAGATGCACCCCACAAAGCTTCTGGACCGGATGGTTTGTCCGTTTTTTCAAAAAAAAGATTGGCATATTGTAGGAAATGATCTTGATAAGGCTGTGTTCTTGATGTGCTTAATAATAATATATGTTGATCCTTCTTATTTAAATCATATATATACACATTGATTTAATTCTCAAAGTCAAGAATCCTGAATCACCCGTAGATTTTAGACCTGTTAGTCTCATTTTAAAAATGTTAGCTAGCAGATTAAAACTTATCTTACCAGACATTATTCATCCTTCCCAAAGGGCTTTCAATCACTGCTAACGCCATTGTTGCTTTTGAGGTTGTTCATCACATGAGGAAGAAGAAAAAGGAAAAAAAAAAAAAAAGGGTTCTGTTACTCATCCTTTTATGTGCAGAGGGGCTCTCTTCTTTAATCAGATCTGCGGAGGTTAACCATGACATAAGTGGTTTTAAGGTTTGTAGAAGAGCACCAGTTATTTCTCACCAATTTTTTGCCGATGGCAAACTCCTTTTCAGAGCAGCTAAACCAGGGGAGGTTACAAAAGTGAAGAATATAATGCAAGCCTATGAAGCTGCATCCGGACCACTGCATCAATTTCAATAAGTCAGACATATCTTTCAGCTACAATGGTGGAAAGAACAGGTCTTTGCTGATATTAAAGATCTTGTTTGGAAGAAAGTAAAGACTTAATTGGAAGGAGAAGCTGTTGTCTAAACAAAAGAAATCCTCATCAAATCGGCAATCCAATCTATTCTCACTATGTGATGAGTTGCTTTGAGCTCCCAATCAATCTTTCTTTGTCAGGACATCGAGGGAATGATCAGGAAATTTTGGTGGAGAAACAAAAATGATGAGAATTGGGAAACAATGTTCAAAGAAAAGAAAAAGGGGATGGAATTTCGTGATCTATCTAGCTTTGTTAGCTAGAAAGGGATGGCGTTTATTGCGATATAGTGATTCCTTGTTAGCAAGTGTCCTCAAGGCTGAATACTTCCCAGTTTCTGATTTCTTGCAAGCACAGTTGGGTAATTGTCCTAGCTATACATGGCATAGCATGTGTAAAAGCAAGATTTACAGGTTCTGAACAGAGGAATTAGATGGCGAATTGGTAATGGTGAAACAGTTGTCTGGAAAGATGCTTGCTGCCACAACAACATAGCTTCAAGGTTTGCTCTCCTGTTAAGCTTATTCATGAAGAAGCCACAGTTGATACTCCCTTAGAAGAAAATGGTTAGGCATGGAATTCCACACTTATAGATTCCATTTTCGTTCCTTTTCGAAGCAGATCAGATAAAGCAACTATACATTAGTCCTCGAAGACCTCGAGACTGTCTGCTTTGGCATCATATATATCAGACTTTGAAACCTGTTTCTGGAGATAATCACCAGTCTAATACTCTTAGCTGGAGCCCTGATTTTATATATATATATATATATATATATATATAAGACCTCCACAACAAAAGTGCCTTTGAGCTTAATTCAGATGCAGCTCTTTTTCCAGATGGGAGCAAAGGTTTGGGTATTGTGATCAGAATCATAGAGGAGAAATCATGTTATCTGCTTACGAACTTTTTAATACAACCATGGCTGTGGAAGAGACAGAAGCTGCAGCAGCTACTCTCTATGGTTTGCAAATCGCTCTTTCCTTGGATTTGCTGGTCATTCAAGCTGAAACTGATTCTATCAATCTGGTGTATAATTTCTAAAGCTCAGCTGCAGATTGGTCCTATTTCAAAACCATAGTTGAAGACATTAAGGCCACCAGCACTTCTTTTGTTTCTTTTGCTTTTAACCATGTTCGCAGGACATGTAATAAACTTGGCACACAGCTTGGCTCAATTAGCTAAGATTGATACTCTAGAGCACGCAACTTTGCACTTTCTGGTGTACTCTTTGTTTCTGAGTAAAGGAAGTACATCTTTACCATAAAAAAGAAAAAAGAAACGTAACATCCTGAGGATGCATTCCGGATAACCCTCTGTTTTGCATTATTTAAAGGCCAAGTTGTTGACTAAAAGTCCTCAGAAAACTATAAATTGATTAGGACATTGCAACTTTGGTTAAAACATACAATTAATTAATAAATGTAAGAGCGGGAAGTGGTTTTAGACCTTCCCATTTTCATCAATTAAATTGTAAATTAACAAGACAGATCATACTGTAAGAGCTAAAGCAGGATGTTGTTTTAGACCATCCCATTTTCATCAAGCAACTAGATCAGATCATACTGTCAGAGCTACTCAAAACTACAAGATCAGGTTAGGTTTAGAAAAGATTTTGTATTTGATTTGATGACTGGTCAAGCCACCAGTTTTAGATGTCACTACGTACACAACTCCTTCAAAAGTTGTTATCGGCATCCATCCCATTGAATTTCTAACTCTATAAATTCAAGCCTCTTCCATTACATTCTCCACAAACACATCAAACACAGAAAATAAGTAATAAGAATAATGAGAGCTGCATTTGTAGTATTGTCTTTCCTTCTATTTGCCTTAGCCGCAAAGCCATTGCCTAGGGTAGCGGCTGTTGCTGCCCCCGAGCCGGTGCTTGACGTCGCTGGAAAGATACTTAGAGCAGGTACTGATTACTATATCCTGCCAGTGATCCGTGGTAGAGGTGGTGGGCTCACAATGGCTAGCACTCGGAAACGAAACCTGCCCACTTGATGTTGTCCAAGACCGATATGAGTTGTCGAAGGTCTCCCACTAACATTCACACTCGTGAACCCTAAGAAAGGTGTCGTTCGTGTTTCTACCGATCTTAACATCAAATTCTCTCGCTGAAACATCCCGTGACCAATCAACAGTGTGGAAGCTTGACAACTATGACGAATCGACAAAACAAAGGTTTGTCACAACTTCGGAGTTGAAGGAAATCCCGGTCCCGAAACGATAGACAATTGGTTTAAGATTGAGAAGTATGAAAATGAGTACAAGCTAGTTTTCTGTCCTACGGTGTGTAATTACCGCAAAGTTATATGCGGAGATATTGGTGTTTATATCGATAAGCATGGGGCAAGGCGTCCGGCACTTAGCAATGTGCCTTTCAAAGTTATGATCAAGAAGACTTGAAGATCTTTATTTTATTGAGAATAAGGGTTGAAGATCTTTATGGATCATGAATGCTCAATTACAACTACAATAAGCTAAATAAAGTGACTTTTATTTTCTTCTATCAATTGATGTTGCTACTCTTCATCTTAATTTGGTTGCATATGCCATGGCTTTCTCCTGCTTTATATATATATATGAATCACAATTGATTGCTTTTTTTGACATTTTTTTTTTTTACCATACAATTGATTGCTTTTTTTTTTTTTTTTTTACCTTTTATATTTTTTTTAAGGTTATCAATGGATAGAGTTTGGATCGGATCATAAGAGATCCGGATGTGAGTTATTTAATAAATAGATCGAATTGGATTTTATAAATTCGAATCCAGCTTTTGGCAATTGTCAATCCGAATCCAAATCTTAAAAGGTTTTTATCATATTAGAATATCCATTGAATTTATCGATCAATTTTTTTCAAAAAAAAAAAAAGTATTTGGTACGTTCAAAATCATGCTTCAATATAAAAATAAGTTGCAACTATTGCTTTAAAAAAAATATTATGATATTATTAATATGTCAATTAATTTTTTTTCAAAAAGAAAAAAAATCCAAATATGTCACCATTTAAAAGAATAAAATCAAATATCCCCGACAAATTTTTTATTAAACTTCAAAATTAGTTTAAATTAGACAACAATTATGGCAAAAAATAATTAAAAAAATCTAAAAATGCCTACTCTACGCACAGTTTGAATAGCATGAAAGAAAATCTAAGTGTTTTACAAATAACAAGCTTGAAATGGATAAAAATTCAAATTGGGAAAGGATTTTATAAATTAGAAATACAAGTATAATACCAAGCAACAACTCATTACTTTTTGTTTTTTCATAT